AATCTTCTGATTTCCATTTCACGTCCATCATCGAGAATATGTGTCATCATTGAAGGAACCTCATCGATATTCTTGTTCACGCCAAGTGATTACAGTGGCTGACTACCGCTCACTGATTGACTGCAGCGCCTTTACATAAACTCGTCGCCGGAGGTCTTCCAAGTCTGCTTCATAGGCAGAGATTGCTTGGAAAGTCTTCGAAATAACAGACCCTGTATGCCAACCCAATCGTCATTCGCTTATCAAACTTAAGCTTGATCCAACCCTGTCGCGGTGTTAGCCGTGTTTCGATTTTTAAAACAACTTGGCTCTAATTTGTGCCAACATTCTTCATGTTATTAATATGATATTCTTTGGCTACCCCCTTGAATTCCTATTTCTGCCCTCTGTCCCGGAAAAATGGGATTGAGACCGAGGGATGGGCATCAAAATCTGGTATTATCTAGCAAATCATTAAAAGTATGGAATACAATGGTGTCCAAACAATGGTAACCCATCAGTGGAAGAATGGGGCAGACCTGTCAAACATGTATGAACCTATTGGAGACTATTAAAACCAGTGTAAGAAAAATCGAACCGGAACGGTTAACTGGATATGGCTGGGAAGCAGTTCAACCGGCCTAACCGTTAAACCGGCCGGTTCAACCGTTCTAACCGAGTAAGTCCCAGATAGTCAAAAAATTGTTAAATAAAAAAAAACCATATAAAATTTAATAAAACCTAAAAAATATATATTTAAAGAAATATTAAACAAAGCACATCCAAATGAAGTTAAAATTAACGAAAAACTAGACTTTAAAGAATCGATTTGTGTTCAGAGAAATTTTTAAAAATTTTCAAAAAAAATGGAAAAATGTAAAAATAACTATTAATGACCAAAAAAATTTCCAATCTTGTCCATAATGATGAAAAAATATTGAAAAATACATTACAAACAAAATACTTTATTTTTTAGTATTTTATGTATTTTTTATTTTTTATTTAAATATACATGGCTGGTCACCAAAACCGGCTGAAACCGAAACCAGCCAGTGACTAGTTCCGATCTAACCAGACAGTTACCAGTTAGACCACCCGATTTTTCCTTCAATGATTAAAATTTGGAGAGTTTCCATAATATCTCAAATAAGACCTTGTGGGAAAAACCATGAGTTTGGGACACTGTTGTGACACTCAACTGTCACAATGACTATTGATGAGGGAGAACAACCAAAATCCAACTGCACGAGCCTTAGAGGGTCCCCATAATGGGCCAAATTTTAATCTAAGAAGTGCCTGTGACACCCTCATGAAATTAGGGCATTACGATATGAGATGCTCGATTGGGTTATGAAGGCCACGGACAAATCATTGTTCATGTTAAAAAAGCTGGTCAATTTACTGAGTGACCCCCAATAAATTGTGTCAATTGAAACTTGGTAGGATGGTTGATTGGCCCTTAGAAAATTTATGTTCCAAAGTTTAGATTAATTTGATACTATTTTAACCTATGTATGAAGAGATTTTTGATATTTTTTGTGTTATTGGAATGGTTGTCAGAAGTAAAAAGAAGTAAGGGAGAGTGGTTTAAGAAGATTTGCTCAACGGGTTTTGTCGAGGTTAGAGAGGTAACTCTATGTCCCAAAATCTATGATGTAACTTTCATTAGTATAGTGGATTTTAATTTGCCGTGTCCATGAATGTATTCCTTCTTGGTTGAACCACATAAATCTATGTGTTTTTGTAGTATGTATTTTATATTTTATTTCTACGTACTTTATTTGTAAAAAATCAATCCATCGGATTTAGACGTTCTGCACACAACAGATTTGTCATATTCATGTCATTGCTGGTAACTATCCACGCCTGGATGACCTCTTGCCAAATTTCGAGGCATTTGAATATCCATCGTAAAATGAACTGAAATTTTGAGGGATTGTTTCTCATTCAATCATTTTTCTATCCTTTTATTTGTCAATAGGGGTCATTTACTTGGATTGATACCACATAGAAGATCACCGTAGGGGATCAAATAAGTCATTGCTGGTACTAGGCAACATGACCCCTACATGCTTTTTTGATCAATTTCGACCAAACCACAAGGTGCTTGGAGTTGAAAATTTGCAGATAAGCTCCACACAACCCCTTAAACATCAATAAAAATTGCCGAAGGTTATTTTCAAAATTGAAGTGTAGATTGAAGCAAAAGAAGAGACAAGTGAAGCCATATTGAAATCATACACCCATATTTGGCATACACGTATATCGAACCATTTCAACATAGACATCCTACCATACACCTCTCCTATTAACTTAATCATGGATCATTTTACCCCAATTGGGCAAAAGATGGACCACCTTACCCTTCTCCCCCCAATTGTGCAAAAGATGATAAACAAAGTGGTCAAACCCACATTATCTGGCCCAATGAGTCAAATGCTTCCATGCTTTGCCCTACTTGAGTGTAGCCAGCCAAGACTGTATTTCATGATACTGCATCTCAAGCAATGCCATCTCTCAAATCACCGTGTTACACACAATAAGAAAACTAGACGGGATTTGTGATCCTAAACCAGAAAAACCAGAAAAGTCATGCACTGAATACATATGAATCCAAGTGTTTTGAATGAATATATCAGAGACCAAACGTATTTTCATGGCTAAAAAATGGATGGATCTTGCTGGTTCAAGCTTTTGGATATGGTTACAAGCCTCGAGAATAATGGCAAGTTGTTCTGGGTATTATGCCTAACCCCTAATGCCATTACTATTGCGTTGCTTTGTGTTTTGCTATTCCTTTTTGGGTTTTACTCAGAGCCCTGTATCTCCACCCTGAAATTGCCAAAGAAAGACTAACAAGAGATGGATACGTTTTTTATGAGTCCATGTAGAAATGAGTCACCTCTTAAAAATCTATTTTTGAGATGGATTTTTGGACCTAATTTTTAAGGACATGAAATCTCTAACATGGAGATCATGAATATCACAAAATAAATAAATTTTGAAGATTAAAAATAATAATTCTATTAAAAAAACATTTGGACTATTAGTTTTAATTTTTTTTAAATGCCTCGGGGACCGCAAATGTAGAAGTGCTGTTCCCACGGCATGAAACAATTTTCCATAAGCGACAGTAACATCACAAACAATCATTAGAGAGAAATGAAAGAAGTAAAGGAGACTTATACACTTGCTGGAGTTTCAAAGTGAGCAGAGTAGAAAAAATGGGAACATAAAACTAGAGAATCTTTTACGCTTCCATTTTTCTACTCCGCAAATGTTCTAGAAGAAAAGAATAAACCCAAAATTGCCGGTTTAGAGAGAACTTGAGGGAAATCAATTAGAGAAGGACATTAAAAGGAGAGAGCCTCATCCATTAGCAGTGCTGTAGGAATAGTGAAATTTTATGAGAGAGAAAGATAGGAAA